CAATTTTGTATAATTTAATTTAAGTTTAATAACGAAATAAGTTATTTTTGGTTTAATAATACAATATTTTATAAAGATAATAATTAAGTATTATGTTAGAACTTAATGATTATCCAAATTATATTTTAGATTTTTTATATTTAAAATGAGATGTTTATCCTGTATTTGATTATGTTTATCTGCAGTTAGTTACACGAATTCAGATATGAAGCTTTAATAAGTTATACTTACGCACAATCTACTTGCAATCTTGAGTTTTAAGTAATATACATTAATAAATAGCATTTTACGAATAAAAAGTGATTTTTGAATTTTTTTGTCAAATGTTTTATAATATAGTATAGCTTATGTGTTTTCAAGAAAACAATAATGATTTTATTTTTGAATAAAATATAAAATTTAAGATATCATAATTTTTTTTAAAAATATATCAATGTTAATATCAAATCAACTATTTAAAAACTCTCATTTTTTATGTAATTTCTTTAATTTATTTTTTTATTATAATTTAATTTAAGTTTAATAACGAAATAATTTATTTTTGGTTTAATATTATAAATTTTATAAAGATGATAATTAAGTATTATGTTAGAACTTAATGATTATTCTAATTATATTTTAGATTTTTTTATATTTAAAAATGAGATGTTTATCCTGTATTTGATTATGTTTATCTACAATTAGTTACACGAGTTCAGATATGGAGCTTTAATAAGTTGTACTTACGCACAATCTACTTGTAGTCTTGAGTTTTAAGTAATATGCATTAATAAACAGTACTTTATGCAAAAAAATGGTTTTTAAGAGAGAGAGAGAGAGAGAGAGAGAGTGTGTGTGTGTGTGTGTGTGTGTTCGTAAAAACCATGCAAACCAATTTCGATCAATAGCAAATTCCATTTTTTTTAATTTAATTTTAATTAGTAAGGGTTTAATAGTAATTTCATTGTTTTTTTATTAATATTGGAAGGTAATAAATATTGTTAATTTTAGAAACTTAAGAAAGGAAACGTTTAATATGGTAGGAGTTAAATCTTTTTCTTAATTTAGCTTTTTCACAATTAATACGTTTTATTTATTTTTACAATTATATTTAATAAAAATATCAATTTTAAAATCAGTTCATTGTTTGATCTTGTCAACAATTATTGATGAAATTGTTTTAAATCTTTAATTTTTTTGGGTGATCTTGTTCCCTTAATGATTATGAATTTGTATGGTATGGTAAATGCACTAATTTAATGAAATGTGTTCAGATTTCAAAACTTTTATAGATGAAACTGTTACATAATTTATAAGGATACAAAATATTTTTTAATTGAAAAAAGTGCACTAATTTAATTGAAAAAGGACACTAATTTAATGAAACTTGTTCAGATTTCAAAACTTTTATGGATGAAATTGTTGCATAATTTAATTTTTTTGGATAATCTTGTTTTCTTGTTTCCTAGAAGTTTTGAAACTTAAACAATATGAAATAGTTTGACCACAAAATGATTAATGGAAGCAAACAGTGAAACCATGTAATGCATGACTGTAACTTTAAGTATATGAAACAGTTTCATTTCTTGATTTAATTAAAAAAAAATCTTTCCTCTAGTATTCAAAATATTTCATTATTTTTTGTTGATTATATTATGTTTTATGTTCCATAATTTATTAGGATATACCTAATTCATTGTAGGTGACAAGAAATGAAACTATTTCACCCTTTATAGAATGAACTCACGTGACTTTTTGTCACCTATAATGAAAGACGGACCGATTGTCATGTAGTGTTGGACGATAATTGAAACTGTTTCATTAACGGTTATTGAATTAATATTGGACTATTAATAATTTCTAATCAAAATAATTTTAAAACAAAGGAAATCCTAATAAACGATGAAACATATAAAGAATGAAATATTTTAAAAAATTTAATGAAACATTTTGAAAACTGAATATTTTTTAATTTAATGAACGTTTTTCATGCATAAAACGTTCCGAAATATTAATAAATTAAATTAATCAGTGAAGTTGTGTTCATGATCACTATTGAATATAACATTTGTTTCATTACTCAAAGTACATATATTTTTTCAATGAAACGAACACAGATTTCATATTCTACTGGTTTTACAATTCATATTTTAATAAGTATAATTTAATAAACTAATAAAAAATATTAATGGTAAGAAAATTATATTAAGAAAAAAGATTTACCTCATTCCATATGAAATGTTTCCATTAATACATTTCTATAATTAATAGTATTCGGGATTTGACAAATTTGCCCTTTTTTTAGTTAAAAATTGAACTATTATTATTTTTTATTTCCTAATATAAAATCACTTAATACTGATCATTGATGAAAAAAATGAATGGATGAGATTGATTTGTAAGGTTTTCATAAATGAGGGTGATTTGCAATTGATCCCTCCTTTATATATATATATATATATATATATATATCTATATATATATGTATGCATATATATATATATGTATGCATATATATATATATGTATGTATATAGGGGCTCTTCTTTTGAGGACCGATGAAATTGTGATAACTTTGAG